TACAATAATTAATTTGTATTAGCGATGAATCCTCAACTCGTTCACCGAAACGATTACTTTCACAATCTATGACTTATACTAATTGATATTAATTTTTTTAAAGGTTATTTGTAACATACTATTAATATTACAATTGCAACAAAAATTTATAAATCTTGTCTTAATATTTAATGTTTCTGTTCACAGAGTAATTAATTAAAAAAAAAATGTTTAAAAATAGTTTTCATTTTACCAGAAACAGATGCAAAATCAGTTTTATAAGAAATGATTATAATTTTATAAGTACATCGAAAGAATAATTTTGTTGAAATGTCTAAAAATTAGTTAGATATGAATCTGAAAATAATTTTGTTAAATCATTAAAATATTTATTCAAACATGCTGAACAATGATGTAAAAAATTTTGATACTTCATTTTGAGTTACATAATTATTTTGAGAGTCAGAAATTATTTTTAGATGTGTATCTATCTAAATCTTTAAATACTTCAGCAAAACCATTCTTTTCGTGAAAAAATATCTATGTCTTTATTATGTTCATCCTTTGCTCGTAACATATATCAACTCTAATAGTTCAATAATTGAACAAATCGTTTAGTGATGGCAATTATGACGATTAAACGAAGTAAAATGTGAAGATACCGAATCTTCGCACGTGACGAATCGTCAACAGGACCATTCATCATTCTGTCAGTGGACAATAATCTGGGGATTTAGAAGATCTGTTTGCGTAACACATGCCGAGCACATGCTTCGGCAGTAATTACGACATTTTTGCGGATCGCTAACGATGCGCAGTCATTGACATTCAGTCGAGGCAACGGAATAAATCAGTGAAAGTTACGATTGCGTTACAAAATGACCAATTAATATCATAATCGGTTAATCGTAGATTACAATTCAAATATATATTTGTATAAGTAAACAACGTTATTATTCTCCATAATTGTTTAATTTATACATATATATTTATATATATATATATAGAGTGTAACAGATTTAATTTTTTTTTATTATGTTATTCTAATCAGTAATTATAACGTATATTTTGTTATAGCAATTAAGCTGTAGTTTTATTAATTTGTGTTTTAATATATTTCTTTTATTATATATCTATATTTAATTAATAATCTGAACAATTAAAAGATATTTATTTAATTAGGAAACATTGAAAATGTTTACGTAGTCATTTTGATAATACATTAATCCGAAAATATCGTAATATTTCTTACAATGCGATGCAAAAATCTTTCACATGAGACTCGTGCTTTCCTGTTAATGATCGAATACATGTTTCTTTTATCTTGTATGTTAAATGCTGAAGAATATTGCAGATAAATATTTTTGCACCGCATGCAGAATGTGCCAATGACGTAAAATTTATCTTATTACGTACGTATCTGTATTTCTCATTTATAATTTCTATGTACAAATACCATATAATTTAAAAATTACTTTGTCACCAAATCAGTCATACTAATTTTTATGACAATATCAAAATTTATTCACAACAAAACGACGACACTAATTAATTATACGTACGTGTAGAGTTATGCAAGTTACAATCTGCGCCAATCTTTAACCCTCGATTGACTTAAGCAAGAATTTCAATTATCGCATCGCGCCGGTGCTAAACTATTGCACGACAATTTCGCTAATCCTGCTACTTGTTGAAAGTTACTCGTTAACATATAGCCTTATTTAATCTACAGATTATATCATGAAGGCTTGATTAGCTACCGAGAGGTTTCGTAGGGTATTATGTTGTGCACACATATTATAAGTAATAGAAATCCATCAATATTATATGTCCAAAGTTAGAAGAATTTGCATTGAGATAAAAATGTTTGGCATTTGTAATTACAGTTATTAAAATAATTATATGAGCAATAGGAATTTTATTTTACAATCATATTATTGCTGTAAATGTTAGTAATAATTATATTTATAATTCTATCAAAAAATATATAATAAAAATAACTACAATAAAAATATAAATTATAGTTAAAAGAGATTATAAATTATACATAAATTATGATAATTGCAACAATTTTTTTCTGTGATGATTTTCAATGTAAAATTATAATAATGGCAATGTTTTGAAAAATTAAATATTAGAACTACTCCGTAATAAAAATCTCAATTTAAAATGGATTTTAATTCAACTTTTATTTAATTATCGTTTTTCAAATACCATAGATAACGAGCGTAATATTAAAATATTGCATTCTGAAGCAGAAACAAGAAATGAATGAAAAAAGTGAGAGTCAGCAAATGAAAGCGATTAAAACCGCCAAAGAACTACCGTCGATTCAAGTATCTTCCGTACTTTGTTCAGAGTCACCTAATTTGCATAAGATGTGCTAGACTGTGAACCGGTGAGAGACTGGTGTAGATATCGTAACTGTGCCTTATTTGACGCTGAAGAAGAACGCGATTGTATTACGCCATGAGATCCTCGAGATCTCTAATGGCACGCGAACCGAGCAGTTTGATGGCGTGTGACTTTGTATGCGCAGAAACTGCGCGAATGACCTTTACCGGACGAAAACTTATTTCGTTACATGATCGTTCCCATTTTAATCCACATATTGGAAAAAAGTCTGGTTACATTAATTGGTTAAAAATGGACAATTAGTACTTTTTTATTCAATCTGTTATAATTTGCTAGTTAAATAAATTATATAAATTGCTGATAAATTATCTTTCGGTTATACTGAAAAAATTTTGGTTAAAAGTGAATAAATCACAGAAGATTTTGATTATATCAATTAAAATTGTGATTATCTAACTAGAATTAAATATAATGAATTCAACCAAAAAATTTTGATTTGTTTATTTTAAGCCAGAATTTCAATCAATGCAATCAAAATTTTTTTCCAATACATCTAACTCAATTCACTAGTTTGTGACTTTATATATCTTGTAAGAGAAAAAGTTAAAATAATAACGGTTTTTGTTTTAGAATGTTTTTAGTAATCATGAAGCATACCGAGGAAATACTAATCTAAAATGATTTCTGTGTTAATAAATGTGAACAAGTTGGCGGATTAGGTGAATGGTGTTCTTTAGAAATTTCATGTATTAAGATTGTTCCACGCAAAGAAAATGTAAGATTTGCACTTAATGGACTTTTAAATAAAGCTTATATTTGTAAAATATATTTGAGAAACATTTCCACAGTTTTTCTTTATTTATTATTTGTAATTTAATGCAAAATATAAACAGTTTAATTAATGCACTGAGTAAAATTTCTAGTTGAGAATAAACAAACTAGCATATTTTGATTGTATCAACCGGAATTCTGCAGGTCATCATAATTAAACATCTGGTTATCTCGATTGAATAGATTCTAATAGATTTAAACGGAAAATTGATTTGTCTATTTTCCACCAGAATTCTATTTAATATTTTCTTTTCAGTATATATATATATATATATACACACA